GCAGGATACGCTGCCTGAGGTGAGGATGGTGCTGGGAAAGAAGGAGGCTTGTTGGAAGCCGCAGCTGAAGGTGACCAAACTGGTGAAACTGGAGTACCAGCGGAAGGAGACACCTTGAGTGAAGGCTTTGGAGCAACAGGAGGAGGGGCCTTTTGTTTAGATGTTTGAGTCTGCATGAAATTGCAAGCTTCTGCTCCCAAACTGAGGTAGTCTTCTTCAGGTCCTGACTCAAAACCAGCTCCGGTCCCTTTTTTGCCCTCTGCATTGTGTACAAGGGACAACAGGGCAGGATTAGGACTTACTTTGGGTGCGTCTTTGAAGTTGAACATAGGTTTGGAAGTGCTCCTTCTCTTTGCCTCCTGCAGTATCCCGGTTCTTTTGGCTGGCACGGCAATCCTTTCATCCCTGGACGCGATGTGTTCCGTGGGCTCGGTGGCTGCCCACGCGGGCGGGGCAGCCTTGCTGGCCACAGGAGCTGAGACTGGTCTGTAGAAAGCCTCAGCGGGTGGGCTGACAGAGCAGTAAGGAGGCGGTGCTGCTGCATCCGAAAGGGGACTGGTGACATTTCTTACGGGTGAAAATGGTGCAGCTGCTCGGTTTTGAACTCCAGAAGGGAAGGGTTTCGCTGTTTTATTCAAAGATGCTGCCTTTTGAGTTCCAGAGGATTGAAACGAGAGGTTTGTGCCAGGTGCTAAGCCAAAGCCATTTTGTTGTACCGCTTTGCTGTGATTCTGGCTCACGTCTGTGTAGCTTTTGCTCACACAGGTCTGCTGCCTTGACATTTCCTCCTCTTTTGATTGATAGACGGAAGAGCTCACTTTCTGGAAGTTCTCTGTCACGGTGGTTTCCCTGTGCTCCTCTGTCTGCACTGTGCTTGCCTTCATCTCCTCCTGCTCCGCCGTAATCTGATCCATCCTCTGCCTCCTCTTGGCAAACATGAGGGCCCCTTTCCCTGTGCTGTCTGCGAGCGTCTGCATCTCCTCTCCACTTTTTGTCTTCTTTTCCACCTCAAGCAGACCACTGTCCCAGTCAAACGTCACGATCTTACCGTCCTTGTCAATGTCAGAGAAAAAATCTTCATCTATTTCCGACTCACTCGTTGCAAGCAAACTCACCTCAAAAGTGTTTTCCTTGTCCCCCTCTTCACCTTCACCCTCTTCCCCCTCGTCCTCGTCACGTTCTAACTCCCCAGTCCCGTAGCTGACTAAAGTGTATTTCCTCGCCCTTTGGCGGCGCTTCTTGAACATCAACACCCCCTTGGAATTGGGGTTGGGAGCTGCCGTCAGCAGCAGTGCAATACTTTTACATTTAGATTTGGCTTCTTTGACCTGCTTCTCCGACAGGCTCTCGCTTCGCCGGAGCCCTGTGGAAAGAATCAAAGTGCACATTAAGTTCATGCGGCCCATGAAATCACAAGTTGACTAAGAAGTGTATTTTTCTGTACTGAAATTTATTAAATATGAAAACATTTCTTTTGTATGGCAAGTTCATTATACTCTAGCTTTTCTCACGGTGTCAGCTGTGTTATAAATTCCATACCCAGCATTCCTTGGAGACACACCCATGCAAGTTCAAAGGCTGCATCACTTTCTTTAGGACTCTCTTAGCTCAACAGGAACATTACACATGTCTTTATTTCTAGCATTCTTAATTTTTATTCCCAGCACCAACAGGCAGGTGATATTTTCTTATTTATCCAATTTCTGGTCTGGTATTTTCCAAGTATTTGACTACAAGTTCCTAGGCTTACACAGCCATTCCCAGCAGGCAGGCCCATGGCTGCTTAATATCTGAGACCAAATGAAACTGAGCAGATCCTGTCTGACAGTGGCAGCAGTTTCTGCCATACAGGCATTTATTTTACTCCTACAAATTGCAAACTTACTAAAAGTCAGTATGCTACTGCCTATCAGCTGCTTAAAAACAAGTATACATCCAGAAGGGAATACACAGAAAGTATCAGCACTGACTTTCAGACCCTTGGTAGATGTGGGAGTTTGTCCGTGGTACTCAATGAAAGCAGGTAGTAGTCTTTTAACAAGCATTACTTGCCTGAAATATAAGTTCTGTAAGGTATAAAATATACAGAATATTTATTTTGGAAATGTGGCACGAGTGAATACACATTGAAGAATAGAACCAAGGAGACTCAACTAACTTATCAAGGCTATTCACTGGAGTATCAATAACTGTGTTTCTGAAAGCATAAACTACTGGTTTTCATCAGCTCATGAGAAAGAGGAGCAGATGCAGCTGCAAAGCTGATGGATGCACTGGACATCAGCATGATTGCTTCCTTACAATGGGACATGAAGCATGTGTCTCATGGGGCAGTGCTAGTCAGGGGATGTCCCTCCTGCTTTCCCTTCCTCGTACTCTACCACTGAATCTCATCAATGACAGCTTCAAGAGCTCCTCCCTTCAAAAAATATGGAATTTAAAGCTATTCCTGAATAAATCAATAGTCACAAGGAAAAAAACATGCCTCTGATAAAAGAAAAGAGAACAGTAAATTATTTAGTATCTTTTGCTGGCATAAATAAAGCAAACTTATTAAAGAAAGCCATGCCGTGTGTTTTCTAGTCATGATCCTTTTAGCCATGTCAGTAGATGGAGTCTGATACTTCTCCTATTAAAGACAACTGGAGTTTTGCCATTATGCCAGATGACTGCACAACTGGACCAATGGTCCTCACAAGAATGTGTAAAAGAGAAAAGAGCTTGGCACCCAAACCAGCAATTTGTAATATTTTATTGTTGGTGAGCCAAATCACAAAATCCTTGGCTCAGTCCTGTGACAATCCAATTGCTTACAATAGTCATTGAAGGTATTTTCCAAAACTATGGGTTTTGGTGTTAGAGTGCTACCTATTCAGGTAAATATAATCTGAATAATATTTACAGAGAAAATTTCTGCTAAAGAGATCAAAGACCCATAATAAAAATTCTTCTCTAGTTCAGACTTAAATGCTGCATTATAACTTCTACTTTGGCAGAAAACACACACAGAGTATTTGCTGCACGCAGAGTATTCACTGTGCTGGGAAATTTGTTTTTTCTAATATGTAGATAGGTTAATAATGATGATGATGATGATAATAATAATAATGATGCAAAAAAATGTATCCAATTAGTGATTCCTAAGGATAATGACCTGCCACCAGTTTAGAAGGGACTGAGATTGTCATGGTTGATGTGGGAAAAGGACAGGACTTCTGTTCTTAGAAGTGTTTATCATGTAAAAAGTAGCTCATTCTTTGTACTTTTGCCTTTTAAGATAAAAGGCACTGCAAGTAATTCCCTAAGAAATGCAGGCACAGTCCCACAGTTGGTTCTGACTTCTCAGCCAAAATGTGAAGCATGTGCACTTTTCTTTTATACTTCATTTAATATGGCCAAAATATGTGGGTTGCATACAGACACTTAGGTATAAGTAACAGCCTAATCCACTTGCCAATGAGACACAAATGGTTATCATGCTAAAAATATGCTTCCAGAGGAATTAGCAGTGGGTTAGCAGAGGAGTTCCAACGCTGCATATGAAATAGTTTGTTGCTACAGTATCTCACTGCACACATTCAAGCACCTTTGACATACTGCTACTAAATCCCCAGACAGGATTCTTCACATTGTTGGGAAGGAGCAAGCAACCAACAGAAAGGTCTCAGATGAATAAAGTAACAAAGAAATACATAGATTAATTAATAAATAATACACGTCTACACCCAGTTAATCAATATTGGCTCCAGTGGCAAGTTTGCTTCCATGTGAACTTCTTGGACACATTTTGAAGCTGACCTCTGGGTCTGGGAGTCAGGAGAAAAAACATGTTCGCTTTACAGTCTAGAGAAGGCTGACAAAACCAAAAGGATCATGTAACAGTTATACACATGCTGGTGTCCGTCAAAATCTCTTCTGCAGACAACATCAAGATTTGTTGCTAGACTTTTTTATTAACTTTTCAAAGCAGTGGCATGGCTTTGGTTTTGGATGATGCAAATGGCAATGCAAAGCTTTTGCTATAAAAGGAGAAACCCACAGGATTCACTTAGACATGTGCAAGCAACTTGCTCTTTTTGTTAATATTTTACAGATTGCCACTGAATACGAGTGAGAAGACCAGCAGAGTTCAGCCCTTTCTGGAGATGTAAGTATTTTTAGTTGGACAAAGTCATGGGTTAATTTCAAAGTGGAAGTCTACTAAGCAAAGTTATTCAGCACAGTTAAGGCATGGGTACACTCTTGGCTCATCACCAGGAGCATTGTATTACCCTGAAAAAATATATAAAGCAAGAACAGAAATGTCACTTGAAAGAAAAAGAGACAGGGAAAGTTAGAAAACTGCAGGAAAAAAATCTCTAAACATTTTTTCCCTAATGCATTCTGAATCCTGAAATTATATCAAAAGCTACAAAAGATGCCCCCAGGCAGTGCAAATGATTAGATGGGACATACTCACTTGCGTGCCTTGCCCTGTGCTTGAGAGGTCTGTGTTCCTTTTCCGAGTGCTTGCTGTCTTCTCCCTGCACTGTGACTTCTGGTGAGATTGCAAAGGAGAGGAGGGAAGGAGGTGCTTCTGACTGCCCTCCTTCTACTTGAGAATCAACACACCCCCTTTCAGACTGAGACCTGGGCGCTTCCTTCTCCCTGTCTGAGCAGTCCAGGATCACCTCCACCCTGGGGATAGATGGAGCTGCACCTTGGATCCTCTTCACCTCCTTGCTGCTAGAAAAGTGGACTACTTTGTTTGACCACTGGATGTTGCCCTCCTTTACACCCAGAGGAACTGCAATGAGGGAGCTGCTCCCATCATGTGTTGCACTGGGTCCTCTGCCTGAAGGGGGGCACTTTTCTGGCCCCAAGAGAGTCACAGCAGGAGCACTGGTGGCCTTGTGCACGTCATTTGAAAGGGAAAACTGCAGCTCAACCATCGCACCCGGCCTTTCTTCTGTCGTCTCTCTGACAGCAGCCTCATCTGTCACGATCACTTTGGGGGTGCCTATCACTTTAGGAGCAATTCTGTGGCTTTGTGTGGTCTCTTGTTTCGTTTCAGAAAAGTGTGTGTTGCTTTCTGCTGCTCCGTGGTGAGTCCCACTGTAAATCTCTGTGATGCATAAATCTCCACGGGGTATCTCTTGCGCTGTGTTCATTTGCAGTGTGGTGTTCTCCCTGTAGTCCTCAATTTTTATGTTCTCGTGCTTCCTGTTTTCTCTTTCAGAGCTCAAGGTTTCATTTATTCCACTGGAGGATCTGCACATACATAAACAATTCAAGAAATTAGGCTGCTTTAAGCACAGCCATTGTAAATAGAGTTACAAAAGCAATTTCTGCATAGTGTTTCCCCACCCTAATTAATTGTGGCACCTTCTACCAGGTCCACTTAGATAGAAGAATTTTCCCAGAATGTAGAGGTCTCAAATAGAAGGACCTTTCAAAACTGTTCAACTTAGCAGTCCAGTAAGAGGGAAATTACACGACCCTGGTAGAACTATGACCCCACTACAAACCTGAAATGTGGAATTGTGTCATTCTTAACATCAGTGTGCTTTCACAGACACATTTTTGTTATAGGGTTTCCAGAGAAAGGCTGCTGAGACTTTTGAGACAATACTTCTTCATATTTCACATGTCTGTGAGAAAATTAACTTTGCATGACACCAGAGGAATGGTTAATTTTTGGCTCTGTAGCCACTACTGCAAATGTTTCAGGCACCATCCTTACATGTGGTTCCTGTCCCAAATCATTCACTCTCTAAGGAATAGAGAAGTACTGGATAAGGATCAGAGGGATTCAAATGTGTTTTTGAAATTCACATTCAATGAATTCCTGTGAGGATCATCATCCTTATATATCACGGATTAATTGAAATATTCTGGGCCTATTCCAGTGGTCCAGCATAAAAGCGTAGTGAACCTATACAATAATTCCTTCTTATTGAAAAAGATATTATTTCTAACTGGAAAATGTTATTCTTGCTTGTGAAACCTACAATATATGTCAGTGTAGCTCCTTCATCTAAGCTATTAAATCCCCTGGCCCAGTTAAGCTGATTTACTGCTGTTAGGACACCTGCTATAGTCTTTAACTCCTTCTTTCAGTACGCTGGACCAGACTGACTGATATTAATTTGAGGAGAAACCTTCTGTGCAGCAAGGCTGCAGCATGTTATTAAGAATTTCTATCTGCTAGGAGGTAGCAAAGCACTTTTTCAAATGAGGGAAGTGGTAGATGTCCCCAGTAAAGTATTAAGTACTATGGAGATTTTTGAAATCAAAAGCAGCCCTAGCTAGTCTGAAACTTTGGAACCCCCTAGAAATAAAGGTTGGAAGAAGCAGCAGAAGGAATAAATCTGTCAGTGTGCTGAAGAAACTTCAATATCGCTTGCTTTTTAGTCATGCAGCTTACTGCTTGTGGCAGTCTGGGTCTGCCTCAAATAGCACGAAATGTGTAACATCCATTTCACCACATATGGGGCTTAGTAAAGGTCAGACAGATTTTAATTTAGGGAGCTCTTTGTGAGTGCTGCTGGATCCCATCGGATGATGCTATTTGGATGATCAATTGTACTGCTCTCGCGCACAGATAAATTACAGAAATCTGTAAACATGTCCTTGTAAGATATGGACTAGGGGCTGGGCCAGCTAAATGTTAGCCTTTATTGGTAGTTGAATGATTGTGTGTATGTGTGGGAGAGAAAGATTTCCACCTTAAAAGGCCCTTGCTACGTATGGATGTATTTCTACTCTATATAGACATAATAGTGTAGCCTCTGTCAAAAGGCAGAATACCGGGTATGATTTCTTTTTTGTCATTTCGGATTCTGTTTTGGCAAATTATTGTTTCTGTTTCAGGCCTTTCCAGCTCACTGCAGGAGCAACAGCCCTGGTGTAATTCCAGGAAGGAAGCAGAACTCCTGGAGTCAGCATGGCAGGGTTTGTCACAGGCTCAAGTTTTACTCCCTACATGGAGCATTTCATGTCGCCATGCACAGAGCATTCCCTTCTTCTCCCTAGAAATGCTCTCTCCAGACTCAGCAGCAGCCCAGGAGCTGCTAACACTGATGTGAGAAGGGCAGGCCTGCGTTTCGGTGTCTGTCCCCTCTCTCCATGTTTCCCGGATCCATCTGCTCAGCACTTGCCGGGAAGGTCAGTGAGATGTGCTCCCCACCACGGCATCTGGGAGTGCCCGCCCTGCAGGGTGTCCCTTTCCTCTCATCCTGTAAACCCAGCATTTTCTGGGCACTGCTGCTGGTCAGTAACTCACTGCGGCTTACACAGCATTGGGAAAACTTTTGGTAGACATCAAAGGCCAAGTAGCATTTTGAAAACTACTTTAAAAGCCCAATTTTCCTCCCAGTAAGATTTGTAAGAGCAGAATTAGGTCAGCAATTAATGCCTGTGAAAATCACATCCTTCATGCAAAAAGTTCAGGGACAGCCAGGAGCCTTCCAAATATTCTTCCCTGCTAACAAAAGATACTTAGATGTAAAGATCACCAGTGGAATACCACTTAAATTATTCTTTCCTCACACTTTCCATTTTCTTGAGACGGCTGCTAACAAGTGGCTACTCAGGAAAGGAAGGATTTGCTTCTCACTGCTCTCAAATGATGCTAATATACTTCCTGAAAAATCCTTCTGGGGGTAACACTGAGAGGGATAGTACCCACAAAGGAGGTGGGAGGGGAAGAGAAATGTTTCAGTCCATTCTCCCATACCTGGGAAGATACAGACAGCAGAGGCTGGGATTTGGGAGAGATGAGCTGATGAGAAAAAATTTAAAGATTCTCGTGGTGAATTTCTTTAGAACATTATAGTCACTTTCAGAGTCCTCAGCAACTCAATTTTCCTAAAATTTTTGACATGGTTTCATTCCATGAAACACTGAATTATGTGGTATAAACCCTCTGTTTTGGTTCTGATTTTCAGGACATGTCTTGCTGCTCATTCAGTCAGGGGCAATGGAGAGTCCCTTTCAGCTGCAGCATCCTGTGGCCTTCAGACAACTGAAATATCAGTTATGGAACAGCAACAGGCAGGAGTCAAAGTATGTGGAGCTATTTCTATGGCTGAAGAGAAGGCAGCTGGTCAGCCACAAATACCATTCTTACAAGTGCAGTCCCAATAGCCACATTATGAATTAAAAGCAGAAGAATGCAGCTATCACATGAGGAGCACTCAGCTGGTCCCCTGCTGAACCAGGAGCAGGAGCTGTGCACTCTGGGGAAGGTAAGCTCTAATCCTCAGCTACCACTGTCCCCCTGATCCTGTCACACTGATCCACAACTCAGCCCCAGACACGTACAGACAGACCGTGCAAAATGTCTGTTATAAATAAAATGAGCACTCCTTGAAATCATCTAGTTTTGAAGGCAGACTGTCACTTTGAACTCCTAGACACTTGAGGAAAGCTCCTTTGTGCAGGTTGCAGGAACCATGAGGAATTTCACATGCTGTGCAGACATCCCTGGTAGCCAGAGACAAGTGCCTATTTTCAGCCTGGATACTGCTCTGGTAGCTGTCATGATGAATCCTGATCCTTTCCTGGTCCTGCCTGTGAGAGGGAGCTGCAGTAGCTCTGTGGGGAGCCTTAAGTCCTTAAAAGGAGTGTGGGAGTTTCAAGATTCTTCTTCCTCTTCTTACCCCCACTGAAGGCAATTCAGAGTTCATCCTGCCTGAATTAACAGTCTGGGGAGAATGTGCTTTACTGTAGGTGGCTCTGAACTGAGGTTGCATTTATTTCACTGATGGCAATTACAAAGCAGGCACTGGAGCAGACTGATGTTCAGTGAGCAGTAATGCTGGCCTGCTTGCAAGTTTGCATGAAGCTTCTCTGCTCTAAGAAACTCAAACATTTTCAAAGAAAACTGGAATTCCCTCTCACTGCTTTACAAAGGCAGAAACCGAGACCCAGAGAGCTGTGACTTCCCCCACCTCATCTAGTGAGGTGATAACAGCTACAGAAATAGAATTCATGACTTCCAGACCCTCTCCTCCTCCTGACCACTAACATATTTTGCCACCCAAGAAGATCATTTGCCATGTCATCATCAAGGCATATCTGGGTAACACAGTTTCTCCATCTATACAGCCTTTGTTTTTTGTAAGCCTCACTTCCCTATCTGTGGGGAATAACACTTGACTGCTTCAAAGGGGTGCAGAGTATAACTGAACTCAAGGCTCTGCAGTATGCATATATGGTAGTGGACACCTTGCAAGTATTAATACTTACATTTGGAGACTGTACTATTAATTCTGTGCCTGACTGCTGCTGTTCAAATTATATACATTAACTCCTTCAGCTCAAATTCTCTGTCTTCCTTTTCCATCCAAGCAGAGTCACAGACATTAACAGGACTATCAGAACCTCTCAGTGTAAGTGTGCAAAATGAGTGGGTTCAAAGCCAGCGTTTTCCAGGTGATTCACTGAATTGCACCAAAGCATCCTGAGCATTCCTGTACCTCTTGATAAGCATCTGCAGGACGTCAGTCAGGCTTTCCATCAGAACAATGACTTCAGCATAGGTTAGGTCTCCACAAGGCTTGCCATTGATAGACACCACCTCATCCCCCTCACACAGTCCAGCCTTGGCTGCTTTGCTTTTGCTGCGAACCTACAACGAGTCAAAAACAAATTCCAAATGGCACAATTAGTAGTGTTCATTTGAAAAGAGCAGCAACCATTCCTCAGCATGCTTTTTGTCTGTGCAAAAGGATCGATAATACTAATCATAAACAAATTTGCGGTAACACAAATGAATAACTTGTCTCGGTTAATACTACTCTGGCCAGTAATAATACAAAACTTTCTGCTTTACTGAACTTTTGAGCTAGGTGTCAAACATGCTAGATGAATTCTTTTAAAACTGGGAGACATGAAAATTTGGGACAGAGAACAATCAATTGATCACAGTTTAGCAGAACTGCAAAAACCCCTCATTAATTTCTCTGAAAATGAAGACTACGAAGAGCTGAAATCTGCACTGAGATTGTAAAAGAAGAGCATGTAAATTCAGCCCTCTCTGGGCAGAGTATCATTATCTACATGCTGGTCACTTGTTCCTTAGATGCCCAACTGTAGTTTTGGTCTCCAAACTATAGACATCTGCATCCCTGGAGATCCTAAATCCATGCTTAGTCATGTGAGTAAGTGCCCTGATTTATTAAAGCACACTTGTTATGGTCTAAACTTCCCTGTTAGGTTCTCATTCAAGAATCCTGTGCAGCTCAGTTTTTTGCAGTTTCACTCCTTTTTTCTCTGGCAGTGTGTTACAACTTACCACAGTCTTTGCATAAAAAAACCCAGACAGCTCTAACAACACTCAAGGTATGCCTACAGTTGATGGCTACTTTTGAAGTACATATTTGGCATAGAGTGTGTTATATTAACCAGGATTCTTGCACAAATCTGTTTTAGAATGACATATACACATAAAAGGGCGGGCCTTGAGTTCTTTGATCTCAATCTTCTACCTGTTGGTGTGAGTATTTTGGCCTTATACCATATCCAGTTGCTGATTCAGGATGTTACCCTTGTTAATTCTCACAGAGTTTTCTTGAAATTTTTTTTTAGAGAGGTAGCATTTCCACCACACTCACAGTAGCAGAGTCAGTCCCTTCTGACTCTAGGGAAGCTACTTCTGATATAACTCTGGATCTGAGGGTAGAACTGCCCCACAGACTCATGGAATTGTCCCAGATTTTCAAATAAGCCACTGGGCTGGTGCCTAAGATGCATTTCAGAAAGGAAGCTCCTTAGAGTCAGGATGATGTGGGGAACAACAGTAAGACTGTACATTTTTCTGTGGCAGAACCACCATATCTATCTCTGCTGTTTCAATTTACACATTCCCATATGTCACGTTATGGCTCTTGGAGCAGTGAAGGAACAGAAGCCTGGTGCATACAGAAGGCAGTTTCTACCTTGCAGAGTTAACATTTACAAATATGGAGTGGTATGCTGCTCTGTTTATCTCGCCTTGGACAAGAGCATAAACATCCTTGTGCCTTGGGAAGAAATGACACTTTAGGCAGTGTTTAGAAGGTTTTGCTTCATATGAGAGCTAACATTTGGGTTGAGGTTTAGTTGCTATCTTTTTTTAAGTAGGAAGGTATGCTATTAAAATTTTACAAGACATTCTTGGCCTGAATGTAAATATTTAATGTAGATACCATGAAGAATTTTGAGTGACCCTTTTTCAGAAAATCTATGAACATCCATTATAGAAACCTGTGAACTCTGAAATAGCATAATGTGATACCTAGATTGTGAGAAGAAAACCTGTTTCTCTTTATTTAGTGTTTGAGGGACTACTTGGTAGCATTAAAAAGGAAAAAAAAAGCAAACAGACAAGGGGATTGATTTTCCTTTCAAAGTGCTTAAAAGGTTTTCTCAGTCCATTTTTCTGCCTTGTGAATTGTTGAGAGATCACAATTCTGAGATATTTGAAACTTCATGCAGTAAAACACTCCCAAATTTGAACAATGTTTATATAAAGTCAGTATTAACCATTTATTTTTTTCTTGGTGTTTCTATTGGGGTAATAAAAGGGAAGAAAGAGCACCCAGAAGAAAATAGGCAAGGGCAGATTGTGTGGTAAATGATAGCAGGTTGCTTCTAAGATAGAATATCCTACCATCATTCATGTTATTTCAGTCTCAGCATAACACCCACTTACTCAACAATATGTAGACTGCTTTGCCAGACAAGCTGTAATTGTTTCTGGCTTTCTTTAATTCTTTTCACTGGAAACCCACAAAAATGAATAAATAATTTACTCGTGTAAACTGAAACTTTTCAGATTTCTGGGGAAAAGAATATAAATAAATAAATAATAAAAATCCACCCAGAACAACAAAAACAACAACAAAATTCCAAGAAGATTTGTGGAAAGAAAGATCTCCCTGGTAAAATACGTGTTCGGTGGACAGTTTCCTCTCAATGTTTTGGCAGAAAGCCTTTGAGGACCCCACTGGGAAACAAAAGCTGCTTTTTTTAGCAGAAATGCAACTTGGTCACACAAAGGACAGTAAGAAACCTTTATCCAGTTCTTGGGAACTTAAAGCAAGGCATATTTGGTAGTAAAGCAGGAGAGATTCTTACAAAACCAGTGGTTGCTCTTGCCTCCTAGTGCAGCCCTGGATTTCTCAGGTGCTTTTTTCTCCTATGCACTGGTGTTGAAGTTTTCCTTAGGAAGAAAAAGTGCATTTTCCCATCATTTTTTTTTGAATGGCATCTGACCACAAGAAAAATAAGTTTGGACCTAAGTTTTCCCATGCCTGCAGTACCAATATAACACAGCAAAACTGGGCTGGTGCTGAACCTGCCAAGATACTAGCTGTTACTGGGCACCTTGAAGAGCTTTGCCCCATTTTCAGCTGGTGCTGCCTCTATTGCTTTCCTGCTCCCCCTCAGTTAGGACTGTTTATTATTTCATGTACCTGAAACTTGTAATTTCTTTTTATTCCCAGATTTATCCTGTATCCAGAATTTCCCGCTATCAGGAGTGCCCTTGGTTGATTAAAATGTCAGGTGCTGGGCAATTCCTCATATCCACACAGATATTAAACTTAGGAGAAAACTATTCCATGCTATGTGAAGAACTTAACCTGGGTGTTATCTGAGCACCCCAGGGGACCCAGGACACTCTGGCACCAGTTCAAAGGCAGCAGGAACTGGGGGCTCTCCAGAGGCTGCTCAGGAGGGTCTGTGAAGATTTCAGGTGGAAACTGTGAGCGAGCAAGGTCTGGGTGCTGTGCTGGCCTGGTGAAAGATCACCTCCCCAAGACACAGGCATGTGGGGAAAATGCAGGACAGGAACTTTGGTGGTGGCTCTGGGATGCTGCACGTGCTGGAGTAGCCATGGATGCCCACAGCATATGGAGTTCCAGCCAGATTCTTAACCAGTAAAAAGAGAATAAATGGATGGATACACAGTGGTTGTGCTCTTGTGAGTGTGGAGAAAAGGGGTATTTTTAGGGAAAGCAAATGGGAAGGCCCAGCCCTCATTCTGTATATGCTGCAGTGCTTTGAATTTAAACAAATCAAGTCTCCTTCTGCCAACTGGAGACTCCTTCCCACGCAACTGGATCTCCTTTGATTTACTCTGAAAGCACTCCAGTTACAACCCAGAAATGTTACATGCTTTGAAACAAGGCATGGTAAATCAGGAATAACAGAGAGATCTGCTTCAAAAAATGCTGCCCTGAATGAAGCTAAAAAGCTGGAG